GAAAAGACCTGTAAGACAATCTAGTCCAACCATCTACCCAATACTACCATTTCCTTTTAAAAGGAAATGTATTATCTAAGCCCCTAAAATTTTAGGGTGAGCAATGGATTATTTTTAAGTAGGTCAGATGCTTCCACTTGTGGATTTCTTGAGTCTTGAACATAGCATTGAACTCAGATTTTTGACTTCTCTAGGTATTTGTTCACAAGATTATATGTGGGCAGATTTTTATATATAGAATATATATCAAAAGCATACAAATTTTATATATAAATTGTATATATGTTTGTGTACATGTTAGATTTTATATAGTGTGTGTGTGTGTTTATTGAGTTTACCTGTCCTTTGCAGCATGGAGTCAATTTGCACTGTTGTACTGATCAGCAGAAGCTTAAACTCTTAACATCCAACATGAAAATATTGAATTAAGCAGCTTTGAAATGACACAAACTGACAGTACAGATTAATACATTAACACCTAGAAATGTAGCAGAATATAAGGTGGTTTTTTTAAAAAATCATGTTATAGTTTCAGCCTAATATCTTAAGCTGTCTGTTGGCAGACACTGCAACTGGAGCACTGTAGTTGGTGTTCTGAAGCTAACCACGTTGGAGCTCTCTGTTAATGCATTAAATCTAGTGAATAAGCAACATGAAACTTGGATGAGTGGACAAAGATAAACAGTATGAGCAGGCCAAAGCTTTGTAGAGCTATCATCTCTGACATATGACATGATCTTATTTCTAGGATACCTAATTAGCATGGGCTTTTACGAATTTACGAATGGATTGCATCTTGTCTAACTCTTACATAGGAACATTTTCAAAGGTATGGAGTCTTTCCTGTTTAATGTACTTCTTTTCTTTTTTTTTTTTCCCCCCTCATTAGTTGAACCTGTTGTGAGCTTAATGAAAGGACCAAACCCTCTAATAGATGGTGCAAATAGGACAGTAGCAGCCACTTGTACAGCAGCCACTGGAAAACCTGCTGCAGAGATTGACTGGGAAGGAGGTCTTGGTGAAATGGAATCCAGTTCTACCTTGTTTCCAAATGAAACGGTGACAGTTGTAAGTCAGTCACGATTTGCAAGAGGAAGACTTATAACTTGTATCGTGAGGCACCCTGCTTTGGAAAAGGAGATAAGATACCCTTATGTGTTGGACATACAGTGTAAGTATTCCGTAAAGTAGTTACTACTTTCTATATATCTCATAACCATGCTCCTTATAGGTGTATACCTTCTGCAGGAAGGAGGTGAGCACTTACTACTTCAGGGAAAAAAGAAGGAGAAATTAAAACTTTAGATAACAGTATGTGGTAAGAGGTAGGTTGCGCAGGAATAGAAACCTATGATGTTGGTTTAAAAAAAAGAAAAGCAGAAATAAAAAGAAAAAAACAACACATGTTAAAACTAGTCACAAAACTACAGGACAGTTATGTGCCTAGCATTTGTTTTGGATATTGGCTCATGGGTAAACATTATTATTCATGTTTATATTTAATATTGAAAATATTACAAAATAACTCAGTTGATCTATAAACTGTTTATAGTGCTTTACAATTTCTGCAGTATTAAAAAGAATTCTACTAAAGATTCATGTTTGAGGAATGTTGAAAGTAGGTCTTACGTGAGTCAGTAATTTGTTCTCAAATTATTCGCTAAGCTTTTTCCACTCTAATCTGCATATGGAGACAAGAGCATGATATATACATTCTTAACATTTGTAATTCAGTTTGAGATTACTCATGTGATTCGAACATGTACCAGGCTTGTTTAACAAATTTGTGGCTTTAAATATATGAAGTGAGATAGCTTACAATGCTACTTATCTAAAACCAGTTAAAAATGGATCACACGCCTAAAGATGTTGTTAAACAATGCATAAATGACCAAAATGCGTTCTTTGGTATCTTGTCTCAGCTGCATGCTGCTTTAAAATTCCTAAATCATAGACATCTGTCAAGTTAAGCAGAAAAAACGTAGTAGCTGGAAAAAGTGAACTTTGCTATTTTGGTTTTACTTGAATCTCTTGTGGGTTTGTTTTTGTTCTGTTTGTTAAAGAATCGCTTATCTGGCCATAAAATAGTGATTAGTACTGGCTTGTTCTGTCAGTTTGGAAATGAAGTTCTAGAGTGAAGTGCCCTTGATGCAAAAATGAAAGTAAATGTTATCTTGATGATTTGCTAGTTACCTGGCTTCTCAAAACACTGTTCTTGATCCTTTGCTGTATCATCCTAGTGAAAAGTTGCTCTAGATTACAGTTCCTTACTTACTTTACAAAAAGCATTAAACTGATGTTTCTTCTGAAGTCCTCTCAGTTCCACAAAGTGCTATCTGTGTGCTGAAAACCTACAGTGGGACAGTTGCACTGAATAAAACAAGTTACTATTCCTGATCTAATCCACTGCTGCATATTATGCTGTAGCTTGGAACTGTATTGGCGTCCTCTGCGTATTTTATTGGTGTTTTTTAAATTTAAAACAAAATAAACAAAAAATCACATAAAACCCACCTTGTGCTCCACCAAGCTGATCATTACACATAGTTCATATGTAAAGAAAATATTGTTGATAGGTGAAATCATATCTTTTTTTCTCTCAGATGCCCCAGAAGTGTCAGTAACTGGCTATGATGGAAACTGGTTCATTGGAAGAGAGAATGTTCAGCTCAGATGTAATGCTGATGCAAATCCATTACCTATGGAATTTATGTGGGCCAGGTAATATTTATAAAAAGGGGCTTGCCTTCTGATTAAAGTGGTGTAATCTCTTAGTTTACAGTAAGAGATTTTGTTTTGAAAACAAAGAGTGTATGACTTGTATTGGATTGTAAAGGTATTATCCAGCCTTTTAAAAGAAGGCTAAAAGATGTGTGTATGTATGAATGTGGGTGAGTGGAAATTTTGTAAATTTACAATCCCAAACAGTTTGTTGTTACTCTTAGGATAAAAACTTTTGTAGTTACTTTATTAAGTAGACTAAAATGTGTATGTTGCAGTTCATAGAGCAAAGCCGAATAAATCTAATAGGGATCCAGCTATTATTTCATAATTTCAGCTTTATTATTACTTAAAGATTGTAAACACTTGAACAGACTTTTTCCTGTATCTACATTTTAAAATCTGGAAATTACAGTCGAGATGGAAAATACTGCTTACTGAATTACAAAATTTGTCATGTTTTTCCAAAGTGCTTAAGTAGTTGTTAAGACAAATAGATATTTTGCATAGTGATGGAAACTAGATCTTGAACATGTCTCCAGTAAAAAATAATAAAAAATAAACTTGCGTAACAGCCTTCTTTCATTAATATATGGATTGGGTGGGCCCAACTCTGAAATGTAGTGCTTGGCTTTTGCATCAATGGATATACTTTGGGCGAGAGATAGAGGAAGACAGTAAAAGCAAGCATAGATCAATATCTGTCCTGTGAAGAAGAAAAAAGATAACCCAGCTATTTTGAATTGGTTTGTTACCTGTAGAAACAAATGAAATAACTTTCCCATGGACAGTGTAAATTTGTAGGTAGTTTTATTCTAGTGCATTTGTTGATAAAATCACAGGAATATTTACTGATGTTAAGCTGTGATCAATTTCCCTACCTTCTCAATGGTAGATGTAATTTGGCATATAGGAACAGTAGTCATAATGTGGTTTGAAAATGTCATATTGATAAGTTTGGAATTGCTTGGCAGAATTTCACAGTAAAACAAAACATTACTATAACTGCTAAAAGCAGCCATTTATAACTTAATGTTCCAGCTAACTAGTTGGAATGACGTGGCTGCACTAAAGTAGATTTGGTAAAATGTGTGCTTTACCTGTGCGCTACAGTAGGTCACTATCCTCATCCCACGCTTAGTTCAAGAGAAGTGGGGCAAGAGATTTCAACACACAAGTTTCTATTTAAAAAAGCATGTCACGGTCTCAACAGCAGTACTGCTTGTTTCTTCAGATGAAGCGGGTTCTTAGTTCTCCAATTTGAATTCAAGATGCATATAAGAACTAATCAATACAACCACTATTTTCAATTCCGGAAGAAATATACTTTTTAAAGTATATTTAAAGCACTTGATGTTTCAGAGGTCACTTTTAACTTTGTGAAGGCTAAAACTGAACTGACTTACGAGAAAAGCTTAATTTTCTGGAATAAAACTAGTGTAGCTGTTTATTTGAACAAGAAAACTCATCCAAGAAGCTGTGAATGAGGAACCTCGGGGCAGGGGGGAAGAATCTGTGCAAAACGAGAATAGCTTGAGTGTGCTGAGGACATGGAAGCTACCTGTTTTGAAATTGTGTGCTACCTTATTGGTTTCAAAATATAATAACAACTAGAACTGCCACAGCAAAAATCCTTATCCTTTGGAAGCAAAGGTAACATTGTAGTTGCTAGGGTAGTAATATTGTCATGGTTAATAATATTTTAAAATGTTGCACTTTTTGAGAACTTTATTAGAATAGAGCTTTCAAACCAACTGACTATTTTATAATGTTTTTTGAGTGAAATACTTCTGGTACTATGAATACATGCCTAATGACTTAGCACTTTTATATGGTTGAAGCAATTCTGGGCAATAATTATTGTCAGCAAAGCAGTGGGAATGTTGTCTGGAACCTACAGTTGTTGAAGATCATTATTAACTGAAGATCATTATTAACATTATTAAATGTTAACTGTGTGTTTTTTCCCATTGGAATGCCTATTTTAAAGTGTCGGGGGTGGCTTTTCTGTTCAATACTACTTAGAAAATCATACTTGCTAAATGCTTCTGAGATACTGAGGTCTGATGATCAGCTGTTAGAATATTGACTTGCTTAGTTGTCGATTGTTAGCTTGATCATCCTGCCTGGCTGTTAACAGATACTTAGATAAAAGCAAAATGGGATGCAATGGCATGAAATTATACAGGTGTTTAATGGGAGGTTGGCAACTCTATTAAAATAGTTCCTGTGCTTTTGCCCTTTCTCCTTTCTCTGTTGTGCTTACACAGTTGCTACTGCAATCACATGCAGAATGCTGCAAGGAAATGATAGCTTTGGAAAAGCCAGTTAATTGGGAACAAATGTGTTTTAAACAGTTGTTTCTCCAGTTGTATTGCCAAGCACCAAATATAGTTTCAGTGCTGTGATTTACATGCAATAGTGATGGAAAATGAGGAAAAGCAGATTGAGAGGGATCAAACTGCTTGAACTATTGCTTGGAAATCCTAGTTAAAAGTGCCCTGTAAATTAATTGTATACTGACAGAAATTTTGTTGTGATAGCTCAGCTGGATGCAAAAGAACAGGCAGATGATTCTGACAGCAGTATAAATGCTTCTTTGTTTGAGTGTTAGTTTTTAGAGCTCAAGTTAGATTGTTCTGCAAGTTATTTTGAGATAATATTTTCTTGGATGTGGTAGTGTTCATTTGTAGACAGTTTACTAGTGCCAGAAGATTTGAAACTTAAAGGATTTGGCACAAATTAAATACTAAATGTTCAGGTTGACACAGAATATCCAATGAAATCCCACTGACAATCAGAGCACAGTGAAAAGTTTACTCTCTAGACTATTGCAAATATTATTTTAAACTAGTTATGTTTAGACGTTAGTGGTAAAGCTTCACAGCTGGAATATAACTAACTTTTTTGGCTTAGGTTGGATGGACAGTGGCCTGAAGGATTGCTGTCTGTCAACAATACTCTGCAGTTCAGCAGCCCATTGACTTACAACTACACTGGGACTTACATCTGTAAGGTGACTAATTCTCTTGGTCAGAGAAGTGATCAGAAGACTATCTACATATTAGGTAAGTCTTACTTCTCAGCAAAGACTGTCTAAACTTGGATTTATTTTTTTTTTGGTCAACGGTTGAAATTACGAACTGAAGAGCCAGTTTATGCATAAAACATTTACACGTTTTAATTGTGTGAAAAGCTGGATTTGAAAGCTACAGTAAAATTTGGGATTAAACTCATTCTTCAATAACAGCAACATAAAGTGGAAATGCCTAAGGCTGAGGCTGTTCCCATAGTGCTTCTGAGATTATTACTTTCTCTTGGTAGGTGAACTTTTTCTTCCTGGTGTTTACCTGTGTTTGGCAAGACATATTGACTGCAATAAACAGTACTTTGTAATAATTTCAAAAACAGATGTTTGTGGGAAGGGAACAGCTACATTTAGAAAAGTCAAAGTTATGTTCTGAATTTGTGCATTGTACTCCAGTTACTTGTTATATCCTTTTCTTAGGATGCAGATATCCAGTAATCTGATGCAGAACTCTTGCTGATCTACTTAGTGTACTATGGCAGATTTGTGTGTCTGTTTAGTGCCACTGCTGTCAGAAAATATCCTCATTTCTGTTAACATGGTGTATGTTTTAATTACAGCTTCTTTGTTGAAAGAACAGCATGATTTAGGGTGTATGTGAATAGTGCTATACAAGTGTGAAAAAGTTCTCCAGATTTCCATAATGGATTTAGCTAGATTAGCTAATACGTAGCTTGATCAATAAGTGCTAATATATTACCAATTTTTTTAAGGAAAATGCAGACATGAAAACTGAAGCTTTATCCCCGTTCGGTCCCCATGTGTTGCCTGATCTGGTTGAGAGGCGTCCCTGCCCACAACAGGGAGGTTGGACAAGGTGATCTCTAAGGTCCTTTCCAGCCTAGGCCATTCTGTGATTCTGTTGTATGATGCTGCTGCTTTTCACTAGGTTCTTGACATTAGTTATTTCACAGTGTGAATTGCCAGAGTATGTGTTGGCCAGTTACAGAGTACAAACATGACTTCCTTGTAAGAACTTTAAATATGAACCCTTAAAGGTTGAAATGAGAATGAAAACTTCAGACTAAAATTGAAGATACAGAATATCTGAAGCCACATTGCTCAGAATTTGATAGTTATCTGTATTTTTTTAGTACAAAGGGTGATGTTTCAGTCTGACTGACATAACTACACAGCAGAGCCTTTTGGAAAACTAATAAGTTCTAATTGACTAGTTAATGAACTAGCTGACTGGAAACTTCTGAATAGTTTGAGACAGCGAAATTACTTGTAAACAAATTATATAAAATTCTTGCTGTTGAAAGACCCAAGTGCTACAAATTAGTATGGAAGTCAGTTCTGTGAGAAGGTACTTTGATGCTTGGTTCTAACTCTTTGCAGAGAAGGAACTCATGGCTGTATAACAGTCTCAACCATTACAAAGACTGTCACGTTACAAGGACTATCAAGTGAAAAAAAAGCGTATCCACGTTAAATAGGATGAAATATCCGCCTGGAATGTAACATTTTAAATATACTTAGAAAATAACACTACAGTTTATAGCTCTGTTCTCAGCCCTATTCTAACTATAAGGAGGGGCAGGTTTTTTCAAATTGACCACTTTTCAAGTTATCAGTTCTGTGAATATGATCTGTAAGTAGAACTCATGCTTTTTACCATAACTGTCATCCATGAAAGTACAGAGCTATCATTCAAAATCTGTTTGACTAACAGACTAAAACGGGCTGTGAAATCATAGATGATGCTTCCCAAAATAAACCAATTTTTGGAAAAGCAGAATAGAAATACATGGCTAGTGTTCTAGCCTATGGCAAGTGTGACATAAACTAGCTTACTGCAGAAATAGTTAAGCTACAGGAGTTGGGTTTTAGTGTGGACTGATGGATGCTGGTTACATGTGTGCTACTTTACAGCTTTGTTCAGCAGCTTTGTTTTGCCTAAGTAACTTCACTGCAAATAGCAAAACTTAACTGTTCTTAGGGAGTGCCAAAAACTGCACCTCAGCTAGCTAGAGGTCGCAGAAGATCATCATGGTTCTAAAGTTCATGTGCACCAGTAAAAATAAGTACCTTAGTTGACATGAAATTAATCTCAATTCTTAAAAATTTCTTGCTTATCTTGGGGAAGGTAGCATGATAAACATTTTAAAAATACAGTTGATTACTTATTTTTTTTAGGCAATTTAGAATATGTCACTGCAGCTAATGCTCAGGCAAGTTGTACATGTCAGTTTAATGCTGAGACGAGCACCTAGCACTCTTCTTTAGATACCTTAGAGAAGATTATGCCAAACTGGTTAAAAAGACCTTGTGTATTATCTTTTAGTATATAGGAAACTTGATTAAAATGTGGTGAAGCAATCTTCAAGTAAAGCACCTGTATTGATTCCAGAAATTATTATTAAACACATTTTATTGTAACTCTAATAACAATTTCAGCGTGACTGGCTTCTTAAAAAACTGAAATGCCCTTAAATTTATGCAGGATGGATAAGTGACTATGAAATAGCCAAAATAATAGTCATTCAGGTTATTCTGCAGAGATAACACAGAGACTGATGCCAGGAGTACAGAAAGTAACACTGAAGGAGTAAACTTTAAGTCAAACCGCTTACCACCTTAATATTTGACTTAACTGAGCAGATATTATCTAATAATGTTGAATGTGGCACTGCTGTAATGTAAGAGTAATCATTTAATTAGCTTACTTTTCGATCTTGCACTGTATGAGACTTGGCAAAAACATAAAGTGAAACTTTGAATCTAGCAGACAAAGCTGTATGATCACAGCATCTTTCAAGTTTTAATTATGAATCTGCTAAAGAAGATCTATGAAGCTAATGCTTCTGAACAGTCATGGTGCTAGTAGTTGTAAAGCTTTTTAACTCCTAGAAAAAAAAATATTAAATGAAATGTGTTGTAGGATTGTAATGTAAATTGAGCTTTTGGTCCTAATATGCGTTGGTAAAAAATAAAGTATTATTTTTAATTCTGTTGTGTGCCTAATCTTTCTGTTAATACTCTTGAAGTAGAATAGGGTGGTATAAGTAGTTGACATGGACTAAAGGATGAATTCACCAGCTTTTAGTGACAGGAGACGATGTTGTCATATGGATAGGGAAATACTAAAATGGCGTTGGAAGCTAGAGACTTACTTTTTAATATTGGTTTCAAGGAACAGATATCTTTTATTATTTCTTACATGCTCAATGATGTAAAGTTACCTTGATTTGTATAGTTGGCCAGCAAAAGCAAGTCATCCTCCTGATGGAGTTCAGAGACAGTCAAGCGTTGCTGAAGTTGCTGACTTAAACCTACAGCAACATATTTTCCAAAACAAGCTGTCAGCTTGATACGTAAAGCACTTCATCATCAATGTACTCAGTTTGGTTTGTTTTTTTTTTTTATACAAGGAATTGACCTTTATATTCTTGGCTCTGTTTAGGTACTTAGCATCTAAGGGAAATCTAGTAATAGCAGCAGATTGTGCAGAATTAAATATATGTCTGTGCAAACATGCATGTAATACATGTACAGGCAGACACTTTGTAAAATGAGAATTGCAAAGAGAGAGAGCTTGTAATTTATGCAAAACCAATTCACTTTAGGATTATAAGTATTTGACAGCAGGTCCTCATCTTGCAGAAGGCAAAAAAAGGTACGTGGGAGTTCGAGTGTGGTTCTTCGATTGTGTGGGGTTCGTGTTATGTTTGGGTTTTTTTAATGGGGAGAAATAGAGTTTAGCATGTTTTTGAAACTAGACAGACTTTGACTGTCTATATTAATACACAACTAGCCAAGACATTTTCCCTTGCAAAACTTTGTTTGTGTAGTGTTGAAGTGATGTATTTTAGCCAAAGATGAGTGCCAGCATTGAATTTTCTTCCTTATTATAGAACTGATTGCCTTGCACATGAAATGCTTTAGAGTGGGCTACATATAAAATGGGTTCTCTAGCTGAGTTTTACAATGGTGTGTTTGTTGATACCAAGGCAGGACTTAACCTAAGATTTTGAATCTGATGATTTGGTTCTAAGGATGATCCATGCATCTATTTGCTGGTTCATCTTTCTGACACTTGGCATCTTGTTGGCTTTGAATTTCCATGGAGTTGAAGATGGGTCCTGGATATTTGAGTGAGGATGCCCTACAAGGGGAATTGGAGGAGGGAGATGTAGTATTTGGGGACATGAGATGTATCATATAGTTGGTTGTCTCTAATAAAATTAATTGTAGAAACTCATGTGCCCTAGAGAAGTTGTTTATATTGCAAGAGCTGGGAAAATGCATCAAGAGTAATCATTTAAGGGAAAAGTGAAAATGTTGGACTGAACCTGTTGAAAGTTGTTACTGACTTTTGTAGGAAATACCTGGAAAATAAGTAATAGGAGGAAGATTAAGCATAGCGTACAAGGACTGTGGTGCTTTGTTTGAGAAGGTATTAGAGGTTCATTTGAAGTGAAGAGCAAATGTTGCTTTTTGTGGAAGAACACTGTCAAAGGTTTTGAAGCAAACTAGAAAAACTTAGCTTCTTTTCATGTATGGAGAAAGCTAACCGTTTTACTCTTTCAGACCATAACTTTTTTCAGTTATGTTTCCTCTCCTGTTTCAATGACAGTGATGGCTATGTAGTAGTAAAAAGTTTTGTGGATTTTCACTTGTCCTCATCATTACTAGAGGGTATATGTAAGAAGGATTTTGAAAAGTGCCTGGAAAGTAATGAGACAAACTGAAATCAAGATGGTACATTTAACCTAAAGGCAAAATTTTTCTGTTAGTTTCAGCAACCTGGCCTGCATGGGTCTTTGAAAGAAATGAAAGCTGTTAAACATTTGGTCATAAGTAAAAATTAAGGAAATTAAATTCATAATTTTTAAGAAAACAATCAGTAGGAAATTACTTTTGAATGAATTAATATTTAAAAAAATAATGTGCTTAATGCTTTCCCCACAGAGCATTAAGAACTCAAAACAGGTATTGGTGATGATGTGAAATATTGTAATTAAGCAGCTTGTTCGTATGAAAGAATATAGTCTTTCATACCAACAGACAAGAGTAGCATTTCTCTTAATTTGGACATTTGAGATGTGATTTGCAAGCAAAAATTTATGGAGTAGAGGTAAGGAGCTCTGGTGTTTATGGTTTTAATGTTGCTTTCTATTTGGGAAACTTGCTTTGGTACAGGAAGTAAAAAAAGGAAAATAAATCAAGTTCTATATGAAGAAAGCTCTGAGTAACATGAAAAGTTAACTTCACATGTTCTTGGTAGTAATTGGCCTTATAAAAAACGAAGAATACTCTTAATTTTGTCATTCTTCAGCAATAAAAGGTAGTGGCACAGATAAGTACTAGAAATGTTCATTGTTATGTATTCTAGGAATACATATAAGAAAATACTGAATTGATGCTACATTTGCAAAGAATTTAAGATTAATATGTTAATTAGTGTTTGTAGATAGTACAGCTGGAGAGCCACTGTGTTTATTTCACATATATAGTGGGTAAACTTGCCAGGATGCAAATACTGCATACTTTTTGAATGTTTTATATTATGGATGTGGAGGATGGGACTTCAGACCTCAGTATCAGAGGGAAATAGATGAACAGTATGTACCCAGTTAAAACAAACGAACAAAAAACCCAAAACACAGAAGTATATATAGCCTGGAAGATGATATTGCTGTTACTATCTGAAACTGTATTTTAAGCTAATAAATGTTGTGTCTAAAGCAAATTTTCAAGGAAGAGGGATTTAACTTCTTGGCCTATGGATTTGTGGGACATGGGAACCCTGGTAAACTTGGATTCCTTAATCTCTACTTCTCTGTTAAATTATTAAACTCACTTTAAATCAGTTTTTACTAAAATCATAATCTCAATTCCTCTTGTTCATTTTGGTAGTGCATCTTCCTTATTCAGTTTCCTGTCTTCTGTCAAATTAATTTCATTTATATAATAGCTCCCTAACAAATCACTACTTACATAGTCAAGTAATAGAATTACATGCTTTGAAAATCTGTGTAAAACTTTGCTTATTGTGTCAAGCTTAAAATTTTATGTTCAGTGGTGAGATGTGCTCTGAAGTATGATTTTTCAAGTGGTTATGATAAATGTGGCAATTCTGTCTAGTATGAGAGAATTGTATGACTGTCTCTGACTAGCAAGATTAAAAACCGTATTTATTAATCTTTAAAGTTAGGATTTCTCAAATAACTGGAAGCTTGATAAATCCTCAGTTTTATCTGGTTTTGTGGTGGTAAATTTAGAGTGCCTCTGTAATACGGTAGTAGTAGTTCCATGAATCTTGCTTATGGGCATTTAACTAAACATGACATAATGAGCTACTTGGCTGTCCATGTAATATTCTATCTAAAAGATTCAAACCATAATAATATGTTTGGTGTTTGTTGCTTTACTGATTTTAAAATCACCTTGCCTCGGGCAAGGCAACAAGCCAGTTTTATTCAGTACCTCCCAGAAATAGAAACTGGAGTTGCATGTAACATTGCAATTCACTGGAATAATCTCAGGAGGCTTTCTCAAGTGTCGTCAGCCCATTGCTTGCAACCTTGTCTTCAGTACAGATGCATACATCCCCAGTAGACCTAAAGAGCAAAGGAAACAGCTGAGTGCTGGAGAAGGATGGTATCTGGCAATCTCGTACTTACTTGCATGACGTGATGTGAAATAAATTGATATTTTATATTGATGAATGAATATGAAAATTTCTTTGTGCGTGAGGGATCAGATTGCTTTTAGGGGGAATGCATACATAGAAAGAACTTCAAATGTTTGAGTTTTCTTCCTTTAAAATTATGAAAGCTCCTTGCTCAACATGTGTTGTTTTGAGATTAATACATACCATTTTTAACTACACTTCTTTCACTAATCCTAAGGTGAAGCTGAGTAAGTTGTATTAATGCAACAAAAGTTTTTGGAGAGAATAGCTTAAAAATCAGTAGTTCGTGTGCTGCTGACTGAGCATACAACTAATAGTTTTTCATTCTTATGCTCCATGCCCTGAACCATTTCTGAAGTGGGAATTTAATGTGGAATAATTGAGTCTGTGGCACAATCAGTTAATTTGATCCAGTATTCCTAAGTGCTGACTGGAAAGATGGAGGACTGCTTGGGTTTTTCCTAACAGACAGCATTTTTCCATGGGGGATGTAAATATTGAACTAATGAACAGTGCACATCTGAGCAGAGAAGCTGCATCTCCTTATTTTGGGGAAGGCAAAATTTCTACTTAAAGTAACTTGGAATTTATTTTCTCCCCATGCTTCCCACCCTGCTGCAGCATAGCTCAAAATCGCATGTAATGAAACTAGTTCAAAGCCTGTGGAAAGTGTAAGACTTTTGAAGTGCCATGAACTTGAGAATGAAAAACTATTCTTGTAGAACATACGCATCAACTTTGCTTTCTTATAAACCCTTAACTGATTTAGCTTGCATTGACATTCTTGTGCCTTTTCTGTGTCTTGTCTACTTCTTTGCTCTTTCCATTAGATCCTCCTACTACTACCACTCGACTGCCCACGGTTCCCTGGCATCCTTCGACTGATGGCATCACAGGTTTAGCAACAGAATCTAGAGAAATAAATTTCCCAACATCAACCTTGCCAGCAATGCAGGAAGACACTTGGGGTACTGCCATCGGTAGTGCGGTGGGTGGGGCTCTCTTCCTCATACTTGTCAGTGTTCCAGTTGTCATCATCTGCTATAGGAGAAGACGGACGTTCCGTGGTGACTACTTTGCTAAGAACTACATTCCACCGTCAGATATGCAAAAAGAGTCTCAAATAGATGTTCTTCAGTCAGATGATGTGGATTCTTACCCTGACAGTATAAAAAAAGAAATAAAGCATCCAATGGACATCATAATATCTAAAGATTATTTAGAAGACCCTGAAAAACCAGAGTGGAACAATATAGACAGTATTAACAGGTACCAGGAACGTTATGAAAGACCCATGGATTACCATGAAGGTGGAACATTGGGAATGAAGTATTTGGTTGGTGAATGTTACGATGACAGTGCAGAAGACTTTGTTTCTCACATAGATGGTTCGGTAATATCTCGGAGGGAGTGGTATGTGTAATAACCACTGAAAACTAAATGTGTTCGTTTCATTGGCTGATCACTTTCAGATTGTTTATACTTACACAAGATGAGGAATAAACTTTTTGAAACTGATTTTTCTTTTGAAGGTTTTTATATTGTGACTTGACACAATGGAAATATTGAATCTGGGGAAAATTTATTTGAGCTGCTTTTTTTCCCAATACTGTACTACTGTCTAAGATTTGAGTTCTAATGCAGAGTGCTTATATCGGTCTATGTCAGAAGTAAAAAAGGCTAGATTAAAGTTGCCATTCAAAAGTGTTTAAGAATAAAAAGTGGCTGTCTTGGCTCTCTGATATAAAAGTTTACCTAAAGCAATGATCAAATGCAATTTTTTGGGGCTTTTACTTTGTGGATTAAGTGAATTACTCCGATCTAGATGCCATCTGTGGTAAAACTTAGTGCTTCTCTAGAGTGAATACTTTACCAACTAAAATGACTTAAAGCAGAATCAAAGCTTTATTTTTAGGTTTTTCTGCACAAAAATGAATACCTCTTAGCATTTTAATGAGCCTTGTAACTCTGTGCTTAAAAGAAGTTATTGCACTGAAACTAACTTAAGAACAAAATTGAGGAGTAGCTGTAAACAGGTCAAAGGCTTGTCTATGAGTAAGATGAAAAATTCTTTTTTATAGTCACTGATTTCTTAAAGCTTATGCTAGTGTATATATACATACAGTGAGATTTTTTTTGTTAGATCTGCAATAGGCAGGATGTCAAAATTTATTGATGAATACAAGACTCTTTGCAAGTATGCAGGGTACAGTTTGAGACCTATTTCTGAGGCTTTGTAGGAATCTCACGATTGAATTTAAAAGCTGGAGAACTGGACACAACGAAGAGGAAAACTGTAATAGATTTCAAAGCTGGACATGAGTGCAAATTTACTTTTTTTCCCAGGTGCCAATAAACATTAAATATGCTAAGAGGTGTCAAAACATTTGCTAGATTTTTTATGACCACGAGTTAAAACAGCGGTTTTACGCTGCTTCTGAATAAGTTACAGTGCTTTCTTTGAAGAGGGTAACTAGAATTTCAGATTATTAATAGGGAAGTGGACACTTGCATTGCTACTTCATATATCAAAACACACTTTCCGATGGTGCAACTACAGAAGATACAAAACAGGAGTTCAGATAAACTGTGCAGTCTCTGTACCTCCACGGATTTGTTTTCCCTGAAAATAATCAATATTGATTTAACATGTTCATGTTATTTTTTAAAATGACATTGTATGCATTGTGTGTAGAACATGTTGTTTGACATCTGAAGTGGTTCTACATTGTCTTGAGCAGGTTCACCGGAGTAATTCTGCTCATTATGTAGGGAGGAATGAAACAACTGTAGATGAATTACAGAACAGTGATTAAACTCTTAATTAGAATAGTAGATCCTTTCAAGTGCTATTTTTAAGTGTTTAGCTCGAGAAAATGAAGCTGATAAGGTTATTTGTATTTGAAACCTGAGAAGAGAAAAAATCTCTGCTACCTATAAAATGAAATAGGCTGCATAATTACAGCTGCTTCATTGAGTATTCACGCTGGAAGTTCTTTTTCTATCCTTATGATATTTGGTAGCTTACAACATTTAGAGCTTCACAAAAAATAGTTGTATTGAGCGTTGTAGACAATACACTGTAATTGCATATGACTGCATGTCTTTAAAAAAGGTTAAGACAACAGCTTTATTTGAAATGCAAATGGAAAAGTGTCCCTAAGCAACTTGTGTTTGTGTTTGGATTAATGGAGTGCTGATACAGGACTGACCGAAGTCTCAAGACCAGTAGCGAATGATATTGTGTGTATCTGTAGCTTGAGTGCAAACACAAGGAAATTGCTAGCAGAAGGTTCTGATCCAAATTATTTCTGGAACAAAGAGATCATACCTCTCTTCAAATAAAAAATACTTGATATATCATCTTTAAAAGATGGTGTTACTTGGAAATAAACGTAACCATAAACCTGTTCTCCACAAGGGATATCTTGCTTTTGTCTCTCTGTGGATTTTTTTGCTTTGACTTTTTTTTTAAAAAAATATATCTATATTTAATTCCTATGGGTTAAGAAGTTGAAATGTTTTGGAGTTGAAATTGATGATAGGGATAGGGCTTATGCGTGTTGCAATGTTTTGTACATTATGTCTGCTGTAAAAAGAATTGATTGTAAGTTCAAGTGGCTGTTGTGTGAATAAACTTTTTGTTACATTCTGGAACATAGATAGTGTTCAAAAATGTTTGACACATATTCTTAAAATTGAAGGTGAAAAACCAGAGGCTGGATAGAAGGAACTGAAGCATTAAAGCTATTCAAGATGGTCTTTGTATCATTTCCTCTTGGAGCTCTGAAGCTTAGAAACCAAGTGTCTTCAGAACTTACTTTAAAAAGCATGAATGCTGAGAATAATAAATAGGGGTGGTTGCTGTCCAGTGTCACTTTAAGCACAGTTGATGCACTATCTAGAATTCATACTTTAAAAAAAGAATAAATAACCCACAACACACTGTTTTCAGTTCCTGTTGCTCTCCTTTGACCATATTTTCTGGAATGACTCAGCTTCCATTTATTTCTGGCTTTTTCATCTCGGTAGTATGGGTTTCTGATCATTTCTCTGTTTTGATAGAAATTGTGCCTTTTTTTTTTTTTTTTTTTTGCCAAAACCAATTTTTTTTTTTTTGCCAAACCAAGTTAAAAAAAAAAAAGTGAGCCCTGTGGTAATTGCACTTCAGTTCAGTTTCTGTATTTTCCATAGTTGCAGGGATATCACTATTTTCCCTGGTATTCAGAGGTAAAGGGGTGGCTATTGTCAGCCTACTCAAATAGCATTCAGTGGCTGAGCTTTCAGTGTAAATATACTTTATGATGTTTTTACATCACAGCACAACTTTATAGAAAATAAAGGACTGTAAAGTTAGTATAGTATGAAATAGGCAAACTCTTCTGGTGTAGTCCGAAACTGGAAGTATCTTCATGAGCTCTGGACCTATCAGTGTGTATTAGTTACCTGCAACTTTCTCACTGAAACAAGAGGGCACTCAGCGTAAACTGAACATAACACAGTTAAAATGCAGTGAGCCCTCCCCTAATTTGTGTGTGCATTCTTCAGGTTAAAATGAAAAGTATGGTTCTTAAATACATAGACTGGTGTCTGACAGACAGATGGATCTTATGCCAGGAGAGTTGTCTTGTAAATTAGAACAACGATCACTGAAGATGGCATGTTACATTAGTCTTCTGGAGGGAACTGGCTACCTGCAAGTTGTTAACCTATGACTTTATCCCTTAATTTAAGAAAGTCAAAGAATACTTCTTTCAGTTTTGTTCAGGGTATGTAAACACACCTGCATGAGTAATCCCAGGGGAGTATTGTTGTGAGATCTTTCATAGGCAGCTAGAGGAGAGGAATCCCCTTATCAGATTGGAAGTAAGGTGGTATGTTACTCATAATTGATAGAACACACTGTATTGTTTTGGGGTTTTGACCTGTGAAACTGACGGGGCTCCCAAGATTTCCTTTGTTAAGAGATTAAATAGAAGGTGATTGTGTGATGTTTGGAGAAATACAGGATGTGATTTTTGTCTCTGAAGGAAAATGGCTGAAGTAAACTGCATTAGAAATATAAATGTAGAGCTGTGTTAGTTTTAAATTCCTTTTGCTTGATACCTTTCTGATCCAGTAATCAATGTAGATAAGAGTATTATTTTTGTATGCTACTTACATTTTATGGGTAGAAGTTTGTGTAGCTAATACGAATTATTTGAATTGTGCAACTTCTTAATAAGCCTGGTGGTGCAAGTTGGAATCACCAGGATTGATGATACTGACTTAAAGTATACTTGTAGGTTTCACAGTTTTATGAGATTTGAAACTTGCTGAATTCCTAGCGTGGTTAAATGGGCTATCTTTAAAGACTGAGAAGTGTGTTAATTCAGTATGAGAGTTCTTAAACATCAGATTTGACAATACTGAGGTCAAAAGAAAAATGTTTTGAAAGATTCCACAGCTTTTCTCCCCTCCTTGTTAAAATTAATTTACAGAATTATTGTTGCTCGTAGTTTGAAGTGTGAAGTCCTCGAGATGATAGATGGTCTCGGGTTGCTTTGATAAGCATAAGTGAAGTATTAGTGAGTTTGCCTATTTGTTGCTCCTAGGAGTGTATCTTTTCCAACTGTTTCCCTTTTTCCTTCCTGCAGACTTCAGTGGCTTTAAGGAAAGATTGCCAGTAAAGCCATAGCTGTCTAGCTTTTTGAATTAACGCCTTCTTTGTTCATGTAAGGGCACAACGTGTGTTTTGTAACTTCCTCTTGCCTTGAAATCAAAAATAAAAGCATGCAGCTAGTGTTTATTAAAAGTAGTCAATGAAATTTTTGAAGTAATATTCATGATTCATGAACTGCCTTAATTCAGCTAGTTTTTTGTGTAACGAGCCCATACTGCAAGAGTTCTAATGCAGCAAAAGGCTTTCTGTTTGATCATGGAAGAAAGAAACGTTTCTCAGAACAACATTGAAATATCTGAGTATTGATATTATGTGAACTTCTTGAAGGTATAATCTATACTATCACATTGCAGATGTGCCATTTAAGCAGACATCTTCTGTTGCTGTAGCAGGGGCTGTAATTGGAGCAGTCCTTGCTCTTTTTATCATTACCATCTTTGTGACTGTGCTGCTGACTCCAAGGAAAAAAAGGCCGTCCTACCTTGACAAAATGTGAGTATGTGTTGGATATGTTTTTCTTATTACTGAAAGCAATATGCAGAAAGTGTTTGTTCTTATACAGGAGTTTAAATGTCTGAGTTTCCTTAGCAGCTGTTCAGCTGTCATAATTTCAGGGCTGTATTTTCAGAGGAGACAAACGAAAAATTATTTGCTCTTCCAAAAAAGAGATGAGGAGACTAAGAGTTGTTTCAGAGATGATCTAGTTCTTTGTCTCCTCAGAAGTCCTTTTGAAGAAAAGCTGCTCATAGATTGAGCTAGAGGGCAGGGGAGAGGTCCATCTTGACAGATGCTGCGGACTAGCTTCTTATCATAACTGTAGGTCTAACTTGGGAGCAAATTGGCCGTGCTTTGTGGAAGTGAAGGTCCCTAAGGCTTATTCTGATACGTGTGTAAAATGAAGAAAGCACCCACAGACACGTGCTTAGAAATGACAAAAAATGTGCTTTATGGAATGTTCATTGTTTCTTCAAGTCTCAAGCACAGATGTGGCGTGCTTTATGGAATGTTCATTGTTTCTTCAAGCACAGATGTGGTTTACTTTTTTAAGCATCCAATATA